CGCTATTGTTACGAAGTATGTTTTTTTTTTTTTTTTTTTTTTTNATAATATTTTAATATTATATTTTAATATATTGTTAATTATATGTATATATTTGACAATATTATTTTTATATACACATTATATGTATATATAATTATATACATATTATTATAAATATAATAATATTTAATATTATTTTTATTTTATTAATATAATATTTTAATATATATATATATTTAATTATATTTATTTATTATAAATTTAATATTTATTATTAATATAATATTATTTAATATTAAAATATTATTTTTATATATTAATATAATATTGAAGTAGTATATTATATATAATATTTTATTATATACATATAAAGTATATATTGTTATTTTATTAATATATATATATTTTTTTAGATATATATTTAATAATATATTTAATATACAATATTTTTTTTCTTTTAATATAATTATGTATAATATACAGAGTGTTTACAAAGATTGGAACTAAATTTATATATTACTTATTATTCGGGTCAAATAGATGATAAAAATTCATTATAAATTACTATGATTCGGTTGGTTTCCTAGGGTCATTTGATTTATAGTTTACATAGGGTATATCTGGCGTAAATATAAATTGATTTATTAAAATACAGCTCATACAATAAATTAACAAAAAATATTTCATTGAAAATACAATTCTCATTTAACTATTAATTGAAATATTGGAAAGGTTAATTGAAAACATTGAAAAAACCTGCATTCCAACAAATGATAGAAATTTTCAAATATTTTTTCGATAAATCATTTTTGTAGATATACAATTTTATACAATACTTTTTTTTTATTTATATGATCCCAGTATGGTAGAAATTTTTTCGTAAATATCTTCTAAAAACATTTCCGAATATATTTCGTATTTTTCTATTGTTGTTGTTGTTGTTGTTAATCATATTGCACAAATGTTTTTATTATATTCGATATTGAAACGATGTTTTTTCTTTACTTTCGACTAACAATAAGATAAATATTATACTTTTGAAAAGTAAAATATTTTATTCCATCTTAACTATACGTATAAAGGTAACATTTCTACATGCATTTATTTTTATTTTTTTTTTCAAGAAAATAATCGCAAGACGAAGAATAAACCGAGTCAACGTAAAACGTGTGCTATTAATAAAATATCAAGTAAAGAGTATACTTATATCTATATACAATATATTATGATGATGAAAAAGAAGAAGAAGAAGAAGAAGTTTTCTATTCCTTCATATTTCAAGGTTTTTTTCTTTTTTTTATTTGTATTTTTATTTTTCAATTCATATTTTTGTCTACTTTTAAACAAAAATAAAAGAAACATCATTCAATATTCGGTCTTTTCAACTCAACTCGTAAACTAGTTTCTTTTCTTTTACGTATATTCCTTATTGTATAATATAAAAATTCATTTAAAAGTCAACAGTTTAATATATATATATATATACAGTGTAAATATAAAATTCAAGCTGTATTCAAATATCATTCTCAAACGAATCAAATTCATTCTTCACATTGCACTCTAACATTATCGAAGTAATTAAAAATTAAACCAAAATTTGATACGCTTATGCGTTTATTTTTATGCACACATGAATCAAAAAAAAATATTAAAAAAAAAAAAAAAGAAAAATACTTCGTGACGTAAAGAAATAAAAAAAAAAAAAAATCATGCGAAGAAATTCTTCATTAAGTATAATGTAATATGAATCATTCTTGATATAATACTCGACCTTGCTTTTCTTATCGTATCATTTATCTATCGTCAATTATATGTTAGTATTTCGTTTATATTCTTCAAAGAATGCAATATTTATTATTTTCACCGTTATTATTATCATTTGTCGTATTTTATGATGATGATGATGATGATGATGATATCGTTGTTGTTGATTGTGTTATGCTTTGAGAGAGATCAAGTTAAATTCATTTAAACTTGTGATGTACATGTGTGCTCTCGTGGTAAGCAAAATCCTCACGACGCGAATCATTTAATAGGCACAGGTGAATTTCGTGCATGAGGGGCATTAATAATTGCTTGAAATATGCGAATGAATTAATGAGAACGAATTAAGCGTTTCCCGTTTCCTTGATATTAATTTTTCTTTTTTTTTTTTTATGGAATGAACAATTTGTTATTTTTATTATTTATTAGTTAGATAATTATATAGTATCGTGGATGTACACATCTAAATTTCAATTTATTTTTATTTTTATTTTTTTGTAGGATGAACGATTAGTATTATTATTATTATTATTACTATTAATAATATTATTATTTATTTATTTATTTGATAATAATATAGTATTGTGTGTACACATCTACATTTTAATTTAATTAAACTAACACATGTAATATTGATAAGGACAAATTAATAATTCATTTTGTATATTGGATCATCTTAAACATTTTCTAATATTTTTAAATAATTGTATAAACATTGCATGAATAATAGTTTTAATTTTTTACACATTGTATATCGGTCAGACGAGTATTTTGGTATTTAACGTATCGACGAATTTGAAAATAATTCTATTGAATTCAATTGGAGAGTTAAATTTATCGATGAATATGCATGGTAATATACACATGAATTTATTAATATTAATTAAAAATATATTTTTATAGGTTTTACAAACATTTTTATTTTTTATTTTTTGGAAGTACGTTGGACAAACAATGCATGATACTAAATTTATGGTATACCATGAATTTTATAAGTAATAATAATAATACAATAAAATAGAATTAATTTACAAATAAAATTGCAAAAACAATTGGAACGATTTAACTATTGAAATGCAATGCTTTTTGTTATGAAAAAAAAAAAAATAAAAAAAAAATAATAAAACAAATCAGAACTCATTTCTTGTCAAGCTCTGTTTCTTAAAAGAAAATTATATTCGAATAATATCATTGAAACAAATTTAAAAAGCAGCAACCATTTTTTTATTCAATACGTTACAAAGCTAGTAAAAAAATAATGTATACTTTTGAATGATATTTTTATTCATACAGAAATATGTTTTATTCCAAATTGGGACATTTTGAAAAATATCATATAACACAGAATATTTTATAATATTTGATTAAATTCAAAACTATATTTCATTCGAATATTACAACCTTGTAGACAACAAACTTGCAAATATAAAATTGTAGACATTTAAATTCGATAAAGGGTTTGTATGCAAACAACGTTCATTGACTAATATCGGTCAATAACGCGAGTTACGTAATAATCTACTACTCTCTTGTAGATTTTCTGCAAGATTTGCCCAGAAACGCGTTACCTTGATTTTATACCATGTTCCTTCGGTTTAAATACCGTTATTACGAGCCTGCCAATTTACCAACTTGAATTTCCGTTCTACGACACTAGATTCTTGTGTTGAGAGATTTAACATGGCAATTCTTCGATGACCATTCGTTACGTACAAGTTTAAATGCCAACAGTGTTATCACGGATAACCGATATTTAACCGAGTAATACCGGAAATTCGTTCCCCTTTTTATATTTTTTCTTTTTTTTTTTTTTTTTATATAAAACCCGACATTAAAACGCTTTTCGTTGTATTCCTTCTCGATTAACGATTAGTGGAATGTTTTCTTATTTTTTATTTTTTATTTTTCTTTACGAAATTTTATCAATTTTTTTAATTCAAAAATAACAAATATATGTAAGGTATTATATATACATTCGTAATATTACAATACAAGTAATAAGTAATGAGTAATACTAATAATAATAATAATTAAAGACAATTTTTATTTTTATTTTTATTTTTTATTCCGTTGATTATAAATCGTACGATAATATTTAATTGTTTGTTAACTTATTTGACGCATATAGAAAATCGAACGGTTTAATTACTTATTGTAATATCGTAAAACATGTATACACACATATATACATGTTATTCATTTAAATATACTCTCATATTTGTCATATTGAATTAATTAATTGTATGAATAGAACAATGACTGTTAATTAGCGAGTTTTGTGTAAATATTTCTTAATATTATTATTATTATTATATATATGTATGTTTGTGTATTATACATATAAGTTTTTCATTTACATAGGTTATGTTGCTTATTTAGGGAAACACTAACTAACCCCCTTATATATGTAAAAGGGTAATTCAAAATTTAATGCAGACGAAAGATCCTTCTTCTTTTCTTTTTTTTTTTGTATGCTAGAAAGACACGAATACAATTAGTTCCTTCATCTTTTCTCGAAATAATTTTTCAAGTAGTCATCCGATGTAGTGTACCGTGAAAGAAAAGGGGGAAAAAAAGAAAAGAATGAAAGGTTTGTAGAGCTTTGTTAAGAAAAGCCCTTTTTAAATGAGTTACCAACACACTTGGTTTTCTTTGAAATATTTTTACACAAAAATTCATAATTTTTCTTTCTAACTCAATTACAAAATTAAAAAGTTTGAAATATTTCGAATAAATAATTTTTTTATTGGATTAAAATTATATACAATCAATTTAATGCGTGTGTATTTGTAAAAAAAAAAAAAAACTTAACGTAAGTTGCATTTATTTTAATGTAATCAAAATTAGAAAATTCAAAGTTTTCTTTTCTAACTTAATTACATAATAAAAATATTTAAAATAATTCTAATAAATCATTTATGATCTTTTTTTTGTTTTTTATTGAATTCATTGCATCAACATGCAATGTAAAATCAATTTAATGCGTGTATATTTGTATTATAGAAAAATAACAAAATTTAACATAATTTCATTTAATGTCATCAAAATTAAATCATTTTTAATTACGTAAACGTGAATTATGTGTCATTATGACATTAACATAAACTTTCATAACATCATTTTATCGTTTTATCGTCGTTAGCAACAACAAAAAAACACACACACACACAGTTTCGAAATAAGGCAGAGAGAGAGAGAGAGAAGATAAAAAAAGCAAAGGTAAAACTCATGGTGAAAACGTGAAATGATTTTAGCGAATTCCTCGGAAGATCTACGCAGACTGCCGACCAGACGAAAGTTCGCCGTGTTCTCAAGAGACGCAATGCGATTAGGTCTGTTCGTAATCATTCCATTATTAGTGGATATTCCGATGGGATATATCATGGGAGAGTAGGTGTCGTGATTGGCTATAAGAATAAATAAAAATTAAATAACAAAATAATACAAATTTATACAACACAAATATTTCGAATAATTATTTTATTACGTTGTTTTATTTTTATTTTTATTTATTATTTATGTTTATTTTTTTTTATATTTTTTTTTTTTTTTATATTATAAGAAAGCTCAATAAATTTTATATTTTAATTCAAGCATATCCTATTACCTCTCGTCAGTGTTCCCAAAACGTTTTCAAGCGAATCAATAATGCTTGATTTTGATAATACAATTTATTTCGTTATGTATGTATGTATATATATATATATATATATATATATAAAGATTAAATATTAAATTAGACAATTTGGCGGTCAATTTAGAAATTTAATGTGAAAATTACTGCTCTGGAAATTACTCGGGTTAATAAGCTTGACGTTAAATCGTAAGATATTTTGTCTTTTAATCTTTTTTTTTTTTCTAGAAAACATTTATTATTATTTTCTTTGAATTCAAACAAATCAGAATATTTAAATTAAAAAATATTTTCTTAATCCTCTGATATTATAAAAAAAAAAAAATTATATAACATTTTATTTGAAGATATTTAAACGTAAACAATGTTTATTAATTTTTGTGTTATTCTGTTTTCTTTCAAAGATTACAAATTAAATCAGTCGTCGTGGTTATATCATCGAGTTAAATTATGGGTTCTATTTTTGTTTTGTTTCCTTTTGTTTCTCTTAATCATTGGAAAGAAGAAAAAAGAAATAAATCAGTGGCAAATTATTTTCCAAGAAACATCCCATCGAATATCATATTATTATATCTTTGTATATCATTCCAAGTAAGCTGCTTTAGGAAAGTAACGTGCAAGCGTATTGTCCTTTAGTAATATTAGTTATTTTTTCAATTTTAGTTGTTTATATTTATAGTTAATTAGTTAATAAATACGTGATAATTAATAATCTACGATAGAATACATCAAACGTATAAACAATTCAATTACAGAAGTATTTTTTACAACATACTTACCGTATCCACTGTATTAACTATAAATTTAATAGCCATTGGCTATTTAAATTGTAATTTTTGTAAAAAAAAAAAAGAAACATAATCTCAAATTTTAAGATTAGTAAGAAAAAATGTAAAATTTGTGTATTACTATATATTTTTTTAATTTTTAGAGTTCATTTTATTCTCATAAATGAGCAATTTTAATCTCAAAATTCATCGGTCGATTTAAACGACACACAGCGGTGCTTAATTTCAAAATGAAGCGCCACAGTTTAATTGGTTAATTCTATTATAGTTATTCTTCATCTAGTTATTTCTTCGTTTCATTTCAAAACGACACGAATTTCCTGCTTTTACTCATTCAATATGATATAATTTGCTTATTTAATTGAATAGTATTTTAATTCAATGTCTCATACGTAGTAAACGTAATAAGTACGTACAAGCATAATACATACGTAAATCTTCAAAGTATAATTTCAAATTTCTCATAGATTTGGCTTAACCAGTTAAATGCGTTCGACGTGTATACACGTCGGACCAAATTTCTACTGTGGTGCGTTTGACGTGCATACTCATCGTGTAAAATCAAAAATTACCATTCACTATAAAAACTCCTCGAAATCTCAATAAAAATGTAATAAGAATTTTATATTTGGTGGTATGTTCCCATTTATATTACCAATACGATCTCTATGTATTTTATTTATATTTATCTAATTTATTTTTATTTATAAGATGTGCTGTTTGCTCAAAAAA